TTACATCCATTGAATATTATTTCCTTTCTTTCTTATAAAAACCATTGCCGTTAATCAGTCCATAAACAACACTAAGCAAGCCATCTGCATAGATTTCTTAAGCAACGGCTGTTCCATCACTTATGCATACAACGATATGCACATCTATAATTCAATATTTAACATATTTAATTTACTTTGAATTTTTTTAAGATATAAATATAAACAATAAAATGTTTTTCTTTGTTTGTTAGTACGGGAATTAACGTCGCAGCTATTGCAGAAAAACAATCTTTTTTCTGCAACAGCTGTGACATTAATTCCCGTACTAACAACCAAAGAAATAACTTTATTGTTTGAACTAATTCTCAAGGTAGTGAAATAATGTTGAAATTCCGATTATTGGTTTAATAACTTACATTAACGCATTCGAATTAGACATTGATTTAGTTCAATGGGTTTTAAATATGTTTAATGATACAAAAGGACTGATTAAAACTGAGAAAATATTTACAGGTATAATTATACATGTACCCCCTGAATCAAAGCATGAGGATGGGATATATAAGAATCATCTTTTGTTCGTCTGTCCTTACAATCTTGTCCGGGTTATAACTGTGTAATAAAGAATCATTGGAAGCTCTTATATAGCACAGAGACTGCTTACATGTATGATCAAAGGGCATGCCATACCTTGAGCCAAGGTCATTCAGACAAGCTCAAGGTCACGTACAGAAAAGAGAAAAGTCTGTTCTGCAAGTTGTTTTATGGAGAAACATTGGTAATTCATACTTTATTCAAAGTTTTCTCGTGTCTTGAGGGTGAATATGTCATGATATTGACCCTAAATCATTTGATCAAGTTCAAGTTCATTTATAGTAAATGTTTGAGCTAAAAGTATGTCATGATCTTAATCTTAGGAAAAGGATAGTGATCAAATGTTAATCAAAACTAAAACATACAAATAAATAAGTATAATAATTAGGGCACCAGTCCTGTTTATTAAAAAAAAAAATACAAATCATGTTTCCGATCGACGTAAACAGGAAATAAAGCAAGCTGTACATTTAAACACGGATATATATAGTCAACATGTTTCAAGTATAATAACTTGTATATCGAATTAGTTATGAATGATTTTACACATATCAATAATAAAATAGTAATCTTAAAATTTAAACTATCTGGGAATTAAATTTTTATTTCAAAATATAAAATAAGACTGTATTGAAATTCTAATAGTTTAACACCCAAATTTTCACACCACTGCAGTCTCACTGAGAGGGAAAACAATAGGGACAGTCTGAAATTAACATTGAAGTCAGCACTTGTCTAAGTTTTCCGCAGGGACAGTAAAACGGGTCAGTAATCGTCTAAGTTTATCAGCACTGAGTAAGATTGTCAGCACGTTTCTAAGTTTATCAGCACCAGCAGTAAAAAGGTCAGTAAGTTTTGCAGTAAAGGCAGCACATTGTCAGTAATTGTCTAAGTTTGTCAGTAAAAAATGGGAATGTCAGTAGGTTTCTGACTTAGTAGTAGACATTTTTGAGCTCGCTCACAGTACCTCTATAGCTAGGTTTTGCTAGTTATAACAGACCTGATTTCTATTTCAAACAATATAGTTTTAAATTTGTCACTCAATCTTTAAAATGAACTACAGATTACTATGCATTTTTTAAAGTTTCAGTTGAAATCCAAAACAGGAAAATATTTTCCTTTAATAACTAGGCAACTAAACTAAACGAAAATGTTTTTAACGGATCGCTTTTATATCTTGGTAATTACTGCAAAGATATTGCAGGAAAAAATATTTTTGAAATTAGGAACATTTTGGACTTTAAAAAAAATTATTTTTTCCGCAAATTTGAGTTCGAACGAAAATTAAAGTATAAAAGTTTAAGTGTAAGCCAGCTTCAGTTTTATTTTGGTCGTTGTTTTTTAAAGACTTTCAATATAATACAAAATTAAACTAAAACATTATCTGAAAGAGGGCGCATAGCACATTCTACTCTGTGTTCACATTTAGGTATTTTACACCATATGATAAAAAAATCAAATATTTGTAGTTCACTTCTTGTTGCGTTTCTTTTGCGTGTCAGTATATAATTGTAATTTAGAAGAGCTTAGTTTTAATTCTACATCTTCAAATCCACATAATGCTCACAGTTCACTCTTTCAAAATCACATTTCAGTTTTTCATACTTTTAAGTTTCCAGTCAACGAAGGTGAGTTCTATGTACCTTGCCTATTACTTTGTAAAAAATCATTCTGATTTTACACAAAAGTGAAATTACTACAGAGATATTAGAAAGACGCTGGAGTTCCTCATTGACAACGTCTTTGGAGACAAGATCTTCCTTGTTGGGATTCCAAGGGCAATGATTGTGCTCCTTCATTATATATGAGGAAATGTTTTCATATTCCTATAAAGCAGAATTTTAAGAAAATAAAATTCTACATGAGAAGAAAATACTAGTTGTGGCTTTCAACTCGACCTTCATATATATATCGACAACGTTTTTTTTTTTAATTGGCAATAGTAACTTCCATTCATATATCGACTAGATATATCCCAGTAAACCCGAAATTAAAGACATCTCGGAGTCTCCCACACCTGTTTCATATGAAGGTCTACTAACTATAAACGATAAGGGACAACTAATTACAAAATATCAAACGAGAGGACACCAGCTTTACCATTGTCAACTTTCGCTATCACCTGCATATGATGTTTACGTCTCCAAACTTATTTGATACTCTAGAGCATGCTTTGAGTACAAAATTCTTATACCGAGGCAGGCTTCTGATGGATAAGTTGATATAACAAGGATTTCAACAACAATATTCTGTAAACATGTAGTTATAGAATTCATTTTATTTATTTGCAGTTTCTTGACCCGCCTCTTACTGTACATAAAATACGTTAAAATTTACTAAGATGATAAAACATGAACAATTGAATCGCAATTAATTATTGCTCATACTACCTTGATGTCTCGGATTCAGCAAAAGACAAAATTGCATGCAATGGTAAGTTTGTAGGTAGTTTACTTCCATCATTAAGTTTTAAATCGCAGGTTTTACACTTTCTTGACTTTGCATATAACAGTGCTGCGTGAACCAGCTGAGTTTTTGTTATACTGCCTTTAATCACTGCTGTAAAAATATTTCTGTTAATATTTCTTATATCACAATGCATTATATATGATCTATATATCCATTAATGGTGATGTTGTACTATTTTAGTCTTAATATTGCACATGAATGAACAATATTAATATATTTATGAGCATAATAACCCGTTTAGTAGATTAAAATGAAAAAAAGAAAGTTTTATTATAATTCACATACAACTGGTATATAAATGTCTTTAAGTCGATATACTGTAAACAGGGTTACTTTCGTCCAATTCATTTCGCCCTATCACACTTCGCAGTACAGTTAAGGTGCCAAATGGAAACATCGGCGAATGTTTTAGATAGAAAATACATTCTTTACAAGGATGGGCGTTTCTTTTTAGGACTTTACTATTATCGGACAAATGCAATGTGGTTGAAAACTACATGTTGACGACAAATAGATTTCTTATTTAGACTTGTCACATGATGTGGTAGTCACGTGATTTTAGCAAATATACCTGAAGTATTGAGGTCATTTATAAATTCTAATATTGCAAGGGCATATCAAAGTTAAACATCTAAGTTTAACATATAATTATTTTCAATACTCTTTGTAGTTTGTGAAAAGTGCTGAGAACCTATATAGAGTCTACTATCTAATTGCTAAAATTACATTTGTTAGACCGTATGTTGAATATTTTGCTGGTCAAGTACATTAAATATAGATATAATTAATTCATTTGCAAGTTTTCCACAGGTTCGCAGCACTTTTCAAATATCTTCATACCTCTTGAGTTTATGTGTAAAAGCTTGTCGTAATTCATTGAGCGTATGCCCTTGCAATATATCGATTTATTACGACCCTTCTATTACCCTTCAATGAATCTGCATACAAATATACGACAGTATCGCTTGTCTGGGGAATGTACGGGAAGTATATGAATAAAATCATAAAATAGACATCGCATCTAAGTTAATGGCCTCTTATATATCTACAATTTATATTTTATTTAATTACAAAATACATTTTTCATTTGTATAAATATAACTTGATCCGCCTCTCACTGCATACAAACTGCGTCAAATTTTACGATATGACGTCATATTGACAAGTGCATTGCGATCAGTGAATTGTTTATATATTGCTGTGTGGGATTTAACCAACGGCAATAATGCATGCACTAGTTAGTATTGATGTAGTTTAAAGCTAATCAACAGTTTAAAATAGCAAATCATTTCATTTTGTGGTAATTTGAAGAACTTATATTTTTTGTGTGATGTCATAGTAAGCATTTCCCGTATAAATTAGGCCCCGCCTCCTTACTGCAGCCTCAGCTGTGCTGCGTTGATAACAATTTTGCAACCATTTATATTCACCCAGACAGAGTTGTGTTAAAGAGATAATGTTATCTTCTTTGAATTCGCCCGTTTTTAATTCGCTCTCTGGCTAAAGGGGCAAATTAAGTAAAATGGGGGCCAGGATTTCCCTGTTAATAGTATTAAATGATACAATTCAAAAATTAAAGACAATTTCTTATATGTTTATTCATTTTCATTCATATGTCAATTCGATTCATCACAGTGAACATGAATTAAAAGACACAACAGAGTATGATATCTCTTCATATTTGGATGTTTTACTGAGACAAAGACATTGCTTGCAAAGTAACTTTATGAAACCGTGATGACTTCACTTTTTCTATCGTCATTTCCCCCTTATTTCTGTGGCAAATTATCACCTGCAAATGGTGTTAATATCTCTTAGTTAATTTGACATACAAGAGCATGTTCTACGTACTAACAGTTTCAAACCAAAGTAGGTTTCTGACAAATTAGATGATGAAACAAGGACATCAACTATCTCGAATAAAATTAACATATCATTAATTGAAAGGCCCACAGTCACAAATACGGACTTTTAATAATATCAATCAACTTCTTCCAGAATTCCTCTTGTAAAGCAGAGCCATCCGGGGGGTAATCGAGATAATATTTCCTGTCTATTAAATCCTTGATATTTGTATTACAAACACCATGAAAAAGGTCAGGCATAAGGACAAGATGGACAAATCCCAGAGAATCTCGCGCTTTGATACCTTCCATTTTTGCCATATTCAGTTCATACGTTCTCCATCTGGATCTCATATACGCTTTGGATACAATACAGATTGTTCTCCTACTTCTCCCGATAGCTTTCATGATATTTTCAATTTTTCCATTACCAAGTTCAAAGTGAATGTCACGAATACATACATTTATGTTGTGAGATTCAAGTAAAGGTTTTACCTTTTGAAAGACGAAATCTCTGTCTGCACCAACATAGGATATGAATGCATCATAGAAATATTGGTTTGCACTTTGTTTTCTGTCACACAGAGTGTTCATGGAATCTTCAGATAAGTCCTGTATGTTCAGATTCGGCAAATTTTTATTCATCAGCAAAGGTTCAGGGTCCATTCCAGATAAACGAATCTCAAAATTGTGCTTTTGCTTAGTTTTATAAATGAAGTACCTTATATGCCAAATATATTTCCTAATAATGAGTACAAGTGCCAAACATAAAAAGAGAGTTATAAAAGCAGTGGCTGTTACATTCAGAATATCGAAATTAATACAGTTCATATGAAGAATAAGAAGAGATTTTTCCATTTCCCTAAATTCAAACTGAGTATTCCGATTGGAGCAAATGTACTGTTCTATGTGAACAAAATGATTCTTGTGTTCATTCATCCAGGCAAGAAAAGCTAGATTCTGGCAAGTACACTGAAGCTTGTTGTAGCTAAGGTTGATCAATACTTTTGACTTTTTAAAAATCAGTTTTAATGACGTCATAGTTTCGTCCGATAGTGATGTTAATCGATTGTCGGAAAAATCAACGTAAGAAAGATTGATCATATGACGAATTCCAAAGCTTACATTAGTCATCTGGTTATTACCAAGTCGTAGTATTCTCATTTTCACCAAGTTTTGAAATGTACAAAATGGTAAGTCTACAAGCTGGTTTCCTGATATGTCTAATTCTTCAATGTTTCTTTGATTTTGGAATATTTGACATTTATTGTCTGACCGTAAAGCTCGTCCTAACATGTTTCTTGCAAGATTTAGGTATTTAACTCGAAGAAGACTGGCAGTAAACAGCGGAGAAATATCAGTGCATAAATTGTTTGATAGATCCAGCTTTTCAACACTCTCCACTCCAAATACGGGTTGGTTCCATGCAAAAAGGAAATTGTCTTGTAGATAGACATTCTTTATTCCGCTTGCATTCAAGTTAAATTTTGGAAATCGTCCGTACAATTTACTAGAATTTGCAAAGATTGTTTCCAGATTTTTGGGTAGATATATCGTAATATTAATTCTGTTCTTAACTTCAAACCGCTTACTTCTTATATCTTCGTGCTTTATTGACAGATTTGTCGTAAAGGAATCGCTTTTCTCGTCACATTTTTCAGAAAAGGAAGCGAAATTTTCCTGATGAAGGAACAAAGTCATGTTATATTCCCTCAAATTATACAGAGTGTGGAACTCAAACAGATATATTCCTGTTGTAAGTCTATTGGCAGCAAAAGATAGTTTCTCCAGTGTTGTTGGCATATTTGGCAAAACTCCTTTTTCTATTAGCTCTATTCTATTATTTGCAAAAGACGCCTCAGTTAGTTTTGTTTGGAACAGGTACTGAATATGTGATAAAGTAAGCAGTGTTCCTTTTCCAATTTGGCAATGAATGCTGTCTGCATGAAAAGTTGTTATGTTAGTCCCATTCAGTCCATAGGTTACGTTGGGAAGAAATGCAAATCCTAATTCTTTATTATGAGAAATATCAAGTTTTCTCAACTGTCGAAGAAATTTGAAGGGACCTTTGTCAAAATGTGATATTTTGCAATTGCTAATATCAATTTCTTTCAAAAATGGCGTGTTTTCAAAGAAATTTCTAGAAATCCTTCTTACGTCGCAGTGTCCTGTTATACCGGATATATCGAGTCGAGACAGATTCTTCAATAACTTAAATTGATTTCCAAAAGTGAAATTAAAAGGCAAATCCATCTTCAATGTCTTTAGAGCGGCGAGTTTAGAGAAGGTTTTATCAATGTTCAATTCACCGGTATGTGTCTCTGAATTATTTTTGATATTCAAAAGTTCCAAACGCTGAAGTTGCAAAAATAAATTCGGATAATAATTGGATTCATTAAGCACGATATAATTTTGTTCCAGATTAAGAAATTGTAGAAACCGTAGTTCCCGGAATGGTGTTTGCGTGAGTGATGAGATTTTGTTCCGTGACAAGTCAATATATCTAATTTTTCTCGGAAATCTCCATTTTATCTCTTCAATTTTGTTTCTACTCAGATCGATCCAGACTGTGTCCTTTGGAAAGGAAGATATATTCAAATCCTTTTCAAAGCGTGCACTGCAGTCTATTTTTAACCCTTCCCTTAACTTTGTACATGTACATGTAACACATAGGTTTGGATTCTTTGTAAACGCCATTGCCCAGTGACATACACAGAACCACAAAAGTAATTGCCAGTGATGAAACGTCATTTTGGCTAAATCACAGTGAATTATAAGAAACACGGAAGTAATTTCTATGGATTAAAAGTTCTCTTATTTTCAGGTAGATATACGGAAATAAAATGTACTTACTTTACACTTGCATTTACATGGAAGTCTTATTTACATTTCCACATGTCACACAAAACGAAATTTTTCCGGGTGCGAAAATTAATTTAGAAGCTAGACTATTCGAATAAATACCCTTCTTTCTTTTTCCATAATATTTTTGTGTATACAAGTTTAAATCTGTATTGCAATACAAATAATTCATTAATATGTCAAAAGGCAAAAACACATTTAAATACCAAACAAATCTTTTCGTATTGTGCACAAAGGAGCGACGTTCACCCCAAAGACGCTTTTTAAAGGGTAAATTGGTTCGAGGTACACTTTATGCACATGTATATATGTGTATTCCAATTCAGGCGCTATTCGCATAGATCATCCTAATATTTGAATCAAAGTCATTTTAGACATTTTCTTTTTCACTCTATCCTATTCTTCAAGTGTTAAAGTCTGTAATGCAGTATTATTCACATCCAAACGTTTTGATCCTGATAAGAACACGTGCTTTAAAAAAATGTTCAAAAAGTGTCGTATATTTATATTTTTGGATTAGATAATGCAAGGATAAACACGGTGTAAATATTTTCCTTTTGTTGGTGAAAAACACAGACCATTTATCATTTTTATCAGAAACAGGACTTAATTAAAAAAAAAATGGCAGTACACTTAAGGAGGTGAAGGACCTTGGGCTAAAAAAAATCCAGTCATTCAATTTTTTTTTCATATTTTGTTTATTTCTAATTAAGTATGTTCCACATATCTTAAAGCAGCCAAATCATTAGGTTTCTTACCTTATTTTAGAGATATTGATTGACAAATACTATGCCTTAGAGTATTTAAGTGGAGTTTTAATTCTCCATGTTTTCGGGTCCATTACTCTGTCTATGATTGGATTTTTTAAGCATAGATAAAAATATTTAAGGGACATGTATCTTTTGAAATATTTCAGAGTATGGATAGGGTTTAAAATTCGAAAAAGCAAATTTCTTCTGTCACACTGCATCTGGATAGGGAAAATTACGTACTTTTTAAGACAACTTGAACAACAAAAAACTAATTTTCAAAAAATCTATCATTCAATATTTTTAAAATTTACGTTGAAATGCAAGTCCTTCACATTAATAATTAATTGTAAAAATTTCAAATGGTGAAGCTGACCTCAATATTGCACAGGACATCCTTAAAGAAGACATAAGCTTGACAAAAACGTGTCGGGAAAAACAAACTATGACGTCACACGTAAGCTAAATAATCAAAATTAGATATACCTACAAAAGATTTCCGTCATAAGCCATGCAAAAATAATTTGTGTGTTCCCCGTTTCTCAAAATACTTCATCATATACTGATTATGATTATTTTTACAAAATATAATACCACCCCTGTATTCACTGTACTAACAGATCGTGTATGACGTCACCGACGTGTTGGACGCGCAGCTTAGAGAAACAGAGGAGTGGATCAAACTATTTCATAATTTGTTAATGTTTACAAGAATGTTATTTTTTTTATTTTTCTATATAGGTTTGTAATTAAAGTAAAAACAAATTGTCAAATTAATACAAGAACTTATGGTTTACACGTTTTGCACTTATATAAACAGAGACTATGACGTAGTTAAACAGTCATGTGACCATGTGTCCTTCATCCCCTTAAGGTGCCAAATGGAATTATCGTCGATTTTTAAGATAAAAAAAGCATTCTTTATACGGGTGGGCGATTCTATTTAGTACTTTACAAATATCGGACAAATGTGATTTGGTTGAAAACTACATGCTGAGGACTATTGAGGTCATCTATAAATCCCAATATCGCAAGAGCATAACCAAGTTAAAAAATCTAAGTTTAATTCAAAAATATTTTGAAGATTCTTATGAAAAATGCTGCGAGCCTATATAGATTCTACTATATGTATGTAATTTCTAAAATTACATTTGCTATACTGGATGATGTATATTTGCTGGTCAATTATATCTAAAATAGAAATACTCAATTCATTTGCAAGATTTCATCAGTTTCGCAGCACTTTCAAGATATTTTAATAAATGTTATATAAAAGCTTGTCATCATCCGTTGTCATCCTTCTATTATATATCTACCGATGAATCTGCATACAAATGTACAGCAGTATCACTTGACTAGGGAATGTACGGAAAATATAAGAATAAAATCGCAAAACAGGTATCACATACAAATATATATACATTTTTCATTGTACAAAATATTACTTGATCCACCTCTCATGGCATAGAAACTGCGTCACATTTTACGAATTGACGTCACGTTGACAAGTGTACTGTGATCAGCGTATTGTTTATACCTTGCTATGTGGGATTTAAATAACAAAAACAACTGCATGCAATAGCAAGTTTTGATTGTGGAGCTCTCCGAAAGCTAAAATTGCGAATCATTTCACAAGAGGTATACCTCGATGAATTGTTATTTTTATGTGATGTTATAGTAAATACTTGTATAAGTTAGGCCCTGTCTCCTTTTTTGTAGCTTTAACTGTGCTGCGATCTGGAAAAAAAGGTTTTTTTCCTTACTTTAAAATAAAAAGATCAGCGTCAAGCCATCGAATATGGTAAATACTTTAGTTAGTGAGCGTCATGAATAGAAAGTATAAAATAGTTAAAATCCAATGTATTTTCTCATATTCGAATACTGTAAACCATTCATTACTCATGTCATCTTTTATTCGCGAATCGCCACGCAGTGCAGTTAAGGTGCGCAATTGAAATATCGGCTTTTTTAATAAAAAATATATTCTATTTTTCAGGATGTCGATTCTTTTTAGTACTTTATTTATATCGGACATGTGTAAATATGATAATTAAGTGATATCATCATGCAGCCTTCAATGTTATTTATTCAAATTCGCCTCGGTCAATATTGATATTTTTCTGGTGAATAACAAACCATATTCACCACCGAAAGAGTCCATAATTGTATAATATCAACAAAATCATAAAAAAGATATTGTATCAAATTAGTGGTCTCTTAAATATCTGCAAATAATGTTTTATTTAATTATAAAATACATTTTTTTGTGAAAATATTATACAATTATGGACTCTTTCGGTGGTGAATATGGTTTGTTATTCACCAGAAAAATATCAATAATGACCGAGGCGAAGCCGAGGTCAATATTGATATTTTTCTGGTGAATAACAAACCATATTCACCACCGAAAGAGTCCATAATTGTTTTATTATATAGTCTGGATTTGAATAAATAACACATTGAAGGCTGCATGATGATATCACTTTCATTTACGAACTTCTGTCGTGGAAATTTTTTTAAAAAAATGTCCAGAAAATGTCCAGATTACAAGTTATAGCTTCCGTGTTTTCCTTTTGCTGTTTGTAGGGCATCGAAATGTTTAGAAAATAATCCTGCAATAGGCTTGGCTAATGTTTTCCCTGCTCAAATACACAGCTGGCTCCAGCTGTTGCAACCATTGTTTACATCGTTGTTTGAAGTGTTGATTGTGACGTCACAATGTCGCTGCACGCGCACCGACCCTCCGGTGAATACGGCTTCAAAACCAGTGAATATATAGTGTTATGAACTGTTTGAGTTTGTATAGATTATATAGGGACTATAAATAGACTATATATTAATACTTGATACACCTCTCACTGCATACAAACTACGTCAAGTTTTACGGAATGACGTCATATCGACAAGTACAGAGCGATCATGTCCTGTTTATACCATGCTATCTGGGATAAATCTTACTTAAAAAAACATGCTATAGTAAGTATTGATGTAGTTTAATTCTCTTCTACAGTTTAAAATCACAAATCACTTCATATTGTGGGATTTTTTGTTTCGTGTGATGTCAATGTACTGTTAATATTTTCTGTATAAATTACTCTCCGTCTCCCTTTTATAGCCCTAATTGTGTTGCGCAGTGAAAAACTGATCCGTTAATATTAGTTATAGTCTGTCCCACGACCGGAACGTCACTACTTTTTGCAAGATATCTCAAAATATATAAATACCTTGGCTTTCAACCTAGGTTCGATCGGTAGATTGATTTTTTTCCAAACTTCCTGCATTTATACGAATCCTCGAGGTCAATCAGTGTATTGACACGGCGGCAAATTCAAAGTCTACGGGGATTTAACATTGTCAAAATGGCAGCCACTTCGGAAGGGGATCCATCATTATTCGTAATTTTCCGTACATTGCCGTCAGTGAGGTAATGACGTCATGCACGTTCAGGAATGCTCTGCACTTATCGACGTCCAAAAAGCTATAAAGCCTGAAACTTGCCAAGTATATAATAGGAGAAATTACGTCTTCGACAAAACTTTCATACACAGGCAGAAGGGATCAAAGATTTTTAAAAACAGCTAGCCTATACACTGCATAAAGAAAAGAGGTATGACTCAATTCATATATCCTTTGAGATATGAT